CAGGAGAAAAGAAAGCTAGTAACTAAATGAAAATCTATAGATGACTCTTCATTTATGAGTCTTCCCTTCCCTCCCATTTTGTTTAAAGCAAAAACCAAAGTGGTTTTCCAGATCTAGGCTGTAATACCTCAGCGTCTATCATAATACTTCAATTTTCAATCACAGAGTACCAGGTTGGAAGGGGACCTCAAGCATCATCTGCTCAAACCTTTCTTGGCAAAAACAGTGTAGACTACATGTCCGAGAGCCCTGTCCAGCTGACTCTTAAAAGTGTTCAGTGTTGGGGAATCCACCACTTTGCTGTGGAGATTATTCCAATGGCTGATTGTACTCATTGTGAAAATTTTTCCTCTTGTGTCCAGTCTGAATCTCTCCAGGAGTAACTTGTGACCATTACCACATATCTTTTCCATGTGATTCCTTGTAAAAAGGGAGTTTCCATCTTCTTTGTACCCATACTTTACTAGAACATGGTGATAAGGTCTCCCCCAAGCCTTCTTTTCTTTAGGCTGAACAAACCCAGTTCTCTCAGCCTTTCCTCACACGTCAGGCTTCCCAGTCCTTTGATCATCTTTGTGGCCCTTCTCTGGACCCTTTCCAGCTACTCCACATCTTTTTTGTATAGTGTGGACCAAAACTGAACACAATATTCCAGGTAGGGCCTGAAATGCGCTAAGTAGAGTTGGATAATGACATCTTCAATCTCTGCTTTGCGATGCCCCTGTTGATGCAACCCAGCATCCTGTTGGTTTTCTCTGCCACAGCTGCATCCTGTTTACTCATACTGAGCTGGCTGTCTACCGGGACCCCTAGGTCCCGGTAGACAGATCTGCTCCCCAGCTGGGTAGACCCTAGCCTGTGCTGCACACCTAGATTACATTTTCCCAGGTACAAGACCTTAACACTTGTCCTTGCTGAAATTCATAACATTCTTGTTAGCCCACTCTTCCAGTCTATCCAGGTAATCCTGCAGGGTGGCTCTCCTTTCCACACTCAGTTTGGTATCATTAGCAAACCTTGGCAAGGTATACTTAATGCCATCTTCGAGTTCACTTATGAAGGTATTAAGCAGTGCTGGGGCCAATATCGATCCCCCGAGGGACCCCACTTGGGACACGTCGGTCGTCAGTTTGAAAACAAGCTATTTACCACCACTCTCTGGGTGCGGCCTGTCAGCCAGTTTTCTCATTCCTAAATGAAAACACTTAGTTCATTTCACCTAATCTCTCACTTTCAGAAGCAGACCATAGAAACGCCAATCCCAACTTAAAACTAGATTCAACCCATTTAACTGAAGCATACAGGTCCTTCTACCTGTGTCTAGATAGAAAACATTGCCAAAACATGACTTCGCTGGTCTTTGGAGAAAACTGAATCCTCGTGACTGTGTTTACATTGAGATGAAGCATACTGCATTTCCTGTGTGAGGTAGATTGTCTACCCTTCAGATGAAAATTTAAATTATATTAAGACAAGCATCTTATAACACATTTCACCATTTGCCTTAAGCTGTGAACAGTATTTCCTGTAACACTGACATAAGACAGATAATAGGGCTTATCCATTAAAGGCAACATGAATAGGTTTTTTTTACACATTAGAAAGCTGTTCACTTGAAACAGCAGTTGGGACTTGCAGAAAACTAAGAAGAAATGCGAGGAGAATTTTGAGAACTTGACATGTATTTATACACGCAAAAACAGGCTCAAGACAGAACAGTACTGCTGTTTCTACAGCTATTCAAAGCATTTGCCTTTCCATGAAAAAGCATGACCATTGTAATCCTAAAGGAAAAAAAAAAGTAGGTTGTCCTTTTTATTTCAAGACCTTTACTTGTATTTAATGGAGCTAGCTGGGAATACACCCATCTTCCTCCAGATGCAAAACTCAAAAAAGCCCTAAATAGCAAATGTTCCAATAAACACAGCATTTAATGAGTTGCCATTTTTATGCTATTGAGTGATCAAGTCCCATGGAAATAACTTCACCCCGCAGCTGTTTTGACTAAAAATTGACAGATATTTACTACAAATCTTAAGCTCTTTAGTGGTTTGGGGTGGGGCTTTTTTAATACATTTAATGTATGAAAAGTGGTAGTTCCTATGCATCTCTATTTTAGATGCAATAGAAACTTAAAACACCTGAGCAAAGGCTATGCTTATCTTTACACATTGTCAGACACCTTTTCACATATAATAATGCCAAAAGGCAATAGTTCTCTTTTACAAATAACAAAACACAAAATTCAATAGGACTGCATCTTCATGGAAAGTTAAGATTAACAAAAGGAGGCAAAGCTTGTTTTCAGGCTCAAAGCAAAATCCTACAAAAGAAAACAAAGGAAACAGAGCAACAACTGTAAGCTCACCATTTCCTAAACTACATCACTGCATTTCTTTCAGTAATATGAAATATAAAAGTTTAGGCTAGAGAAGAAAAAATTTGCAAGATAGATACAGACAGGAACTGTCTAATACAGCTGGGTGGTTTTTAGTGCCTATTTAAGCATCTCAAATGAAAGAACTAAGGAAGTGTTAAAGAGACAACACTTTTTATAGGAGGTCACTCTTGCCTCTTGTTTTTGCTAATCACTTTCAAGACAACCTTTGCCAACCATCACCAGAATATCTACAGCTCTTCAACTAGGATGAAGGGGAAGAACTAAAGACCCAGTTGCAAGCACACCACAAATCGCTAATTCCTGCTATCTGTGAATTTCTTTCTGTCAGCAGAAGGCAGAGATATTGCAAAATCATTTTGGTTTTTATCCATCAGGCAGTTCAGATCAAATTTATACTCCCCCTTTCCCACCCTCTCTCATTCCCCCTTTATTTGGGTGCAGGAACCCAGTATAATTTATTATGTACATGACAAAAGCAGAATCAACATTTCATTATGATTCACTTGGTAATTCCTTTGACAAAGTTTCTTCATTCAACATACATATAGTGAGTATTAACATGAAATTAAAAGATGCACTCACCTTCTTGACTTTCTAGGCGTATTTTGATATAATCCAGGCAAAACTGTGGAAGACAACACAACAGTAAGATTCCACATCTTCTCCAGACCAAAACTGACTTAATGCCTTTTAACTGTTAGTAAACCTATTTCATTTGACTACGTACTTGATTAATGAGAAAAATTTAAAATAAAAATGTAAAATGAATTTTTTTTAAAAAAACCAAAGTGTACACTTTTGCACAACTCAAGGAAGCAAGTGTATCTTAACTAATTATTCAACGTCTCTTTCAGTTATAGTGACTGTCGAAACTTATGATCTACATACTTCATTTTCAAAAAGGTTTAAAATACTCCAAAAAAATGCCACAAATTATAAGGAAGGAAAAAAAAAATCCTCAGAAGAGAATGTCACCTATCAGTATCACTATTTAAGCAAATCAACCAATAGGGATTTGCAGAGAGGTGGAAAGAATGAGTAATACCTCTCTGCTATTTATGTGGTTACTCCAGCAAGAAGTATCCATTTTATCTTGCTTACTGCATACAGCTAACATTCAATGTCTCCTTCAAAGTCCCCATGTAACTTAGAAGGCTAACAAAAAGAAGTATTGTTCTATAGAAGTAAAATTATTCAGCTGCAGACATGCTTATTCCTGTAGCTGTTGACTTCAATGTTAAGAACAAATGCACGCTCATCCATAAGCCCCTCCCCAACCATGTAAACAGGATTTTCAAGAGGTTTGCAGGCACGATGTTTCTATTAAACACCAGAACTAGATCATATGCATTAGTAGATAACAGTACTTGGGGATTCTTTGGGAATCACAGCCTCTGAAGTTAGAGAAACTTACTGTTCCAGGCATAGGCAAAATATGTTATTCAAGTATGAAAATAACAATGCCCACCAAAACCTGAAAGTAATTTGTCAAATAACAAGTTTACTTACAATCACAGGTTCCACTACCATTCTTCGTAGCGTTCCTATTCGTATACTCCGACAGTTCAGAATGACACTTTCACAGGAATTTTGATAATTTAGTGGTACAGCCTCAGTTACAATCTCTTGAGAAATAACTTTACGACGTTTTATTGGAGTGTTAGACACAATGTTCCCAAACTGAAAAGTAATTGTCAAGGTTTCAGAATGTCTCACGAAGATTTATTGCTAAAACAAGCTTGTTAAAAACTAGAGACTTAATTTTCAGTACCTTCTTGCTGGTCAACAGGATTACTTACTGTAGCACCCACCTCAACCATATACAAAAGGCAAAAATTTCCTAAAAGACTTTTCGGAACACCTGAAGATACTATTATTGCTAGATTCAAGGGGGAAAAAAAAAAAATCAAAACAAGCCAAAACCAAAACCTGACACTTGTAGACATTTTGTTAATATTTCCAAATCATAAACAGCGCTTGTTAAATTGCCAAAGCCAATTTAGTTTTTGCCATTTTGAAACACTGTGTAGCCTGACAAAACAAGGGTTTTTTTAATATAATTTATTTGTTTATATATACATAAAAAACCCTAATGCTGTAAAAGCACCACAATGTTGGTGGTTTTATTTTTTCTTTCAGTTTTTATTACTCCAAGCTTTTGGTAACTAAAAACACCGAGTAATTACTGAAGTACAGTGCATCATCACATTAGCAGAACTGCGGTCTTCAAGGAACTTAAATAAATAAGCCCAATAAAAATTCCTTAAAGCAACTCCGCAGAACTATTAAGATGTTTTTAGGACAGATTCCTAGGGCCAGAAGACTAAATACTGAGTCTGGCTCCAGTTCAAGAAAGCCTCTAGATACTGACTGAAGCTCTACTCTCAATGAAGTCTCCTGTTTACCAATAGAACAATATTTTAAAAAACTATTAAAATGACAGAAAGCTGGCTGATAGCTGTCAGATTAATATAATTCTTGTATTGCTTATATTGCTCTATTTTGTTGAAGGATTTTCTATATGCTAGTCTTTTCATTGGTATTTATAATGTTTCACAGAGATGTCCATTAATAAACATTCTTTTGGGTTACAAAAGACAAACTCCCACAGAAAAATATTTTAAGGTCTCCAATATTTCTATTAAGACTAAATCTTGACAATTGTGCTGACCCTAATCACTATGGCCTATCCTGGCCACAATTTAAGATACACTTTTGGATGTTTCATCTAACTATAGTGGAGAAGGCAGATTCTAAACCCCTGGAACTAAAATCCTTTCGTAAGACTCTTGTCGAAGACAGCTTTTCATTTTTGTCTGCTGGACTAGCTAAATATTATTAGAAGCTCAAAACTCAAATCACAGACAAAGAGTAAACTAGAAAACATAAATGTGGTGCTACATTCAAGCAGCCTCTTCAGTAAAGAAGGAATAAATATTTTGAGAGAAAAACAAATGAACAAAGCTTCTTAAAGCCTTAAAGCTTTTCCTATTATAACTATCATATTTTCTGTTATATCAGTCAATAGCTGAAATTTTTGGTAGTTTCCTTGAATCAATACAAAGTTTGTGTTAAATTGCACTACAAAAAAAAATAAAAATAAAAAAAAAAATCTGTTTTCCAAAGCAAACTCTTGCCCATTTTTGTCTACAATATGCAGTTAATTTACAATTTTACAGCCAGTCCTTGAAGACTAGTGAACACGAACATTCGGATATACACAGGAAATCATTGTGAGGGTTTCAGAAGTCTTAGACACCAGTGCTTTCGCAATGCAATTAATCCAGCACGTAAAGTCAGAATAATTGAAATTCAAAACTAATTATCATCCCAGCTTTACTGTAGGCTAGAGGTTCAAGTGTTTCATATTGCTAGTGGTGACCTATTATACACCACATTATAAACATCCATAACAGCATCAATTACAGCACTAGAATGTTGGCTTCTGAATCTCAATAAAATATGAAGGTTTTGTCATCATTACTTTAGCATTCTAACTCAGGAAACACAAAGGATTTGAGACAGCAAGTGGAAGTCTGATCAAATACTCTTGTTGAACCAAACTCAAAACAGTGAAACTGGACAGGTGACCCAAAAATTGTTTTAATCAGCACTATTAATTCAACACCAGTTGCCACAGGGAATTCTTCGTAATGGCTCACTATTGAGGTGAGTAAGATTTTAACATACTGTGAAAGCTGTCCCCTTTGATGGCACTTAAGTTCATGGTGCATTTTTTGTCTTTGTGTATTCAATTCCTGCAGTGGCACTCAACTAAAAACTAAAAGTCCCACGATGAAATCCAAAAAATAAATGTTATTAATTGGGACACTTGTCAAAGTATTTTGATTTTAAAGGGCCACTATTGTTCCCACTGTCTCTTTTCATGTTTAACTTTGTATGTCCAAAGTCTTACCAGGCAACAGCTGGTACTGACATTCTTCTGTAAACTGTGTAAGCCCTTGAGTTTTATAGAGATACCCTGCCCAGTCTCAAAAAGTATACATTCGACACAGAAGCATCTATGTTAAAATCAGTAAGAATGCTTGTAAAAATATAATGAACATATTTTCTTATGTTTCCAGTATTATATAAGCAGAGATACTACTTGATGAGCTACTAAATAATAAAAGCATTCAAATATAGTCAACTTCTGACAATGCAAAACAAGGCTTTACATTTTCCATTTATGACTTGATTTTTGTTTTGTTTAAACAAAGCATTAAATAGTACCTGATCTTTCATTCTTGCTTTTCTTGGTAGTGTGACTGCAATTTCTGTATCTGTTGTTATACTACCTATTCTCTGTTCTATTCCACAACTGTTTTCCTTTAATGCTGCTTCCACCTTTCCTGTAGAAGGAGCTGGGGAGGAGCGGGCTGAATCTGCAGGACGAGGTGAAATGCTTTCCATTCTCCTAGTGCTGCCACTATCCTCCTCCTCATCATCATCACTAGACAAAACAACTAAACAGAAAATATTAAATTCTCAACCACTACATTTTTCTGTAACATAAATTTCAAGCAAACGCTTAAAAATAATTTACGTAATTGTCCTGCAGTGCCAAAAAAAGTCCACATTTATCATTATATTATGCTTTTATTACGATTTATTTGGAAACTGCTCGCAGGTGCTCTCTCCCTCATTTTTTATTTCTCACAACTAACTATACAAGAAATGGATATCATTAATTTGCCTCTAGACACAGAAGCGAAGCCATACGTTTCTTGGTGCAATCAAGCATCGACAGCAAATAATACGACTTAAGAGAAACTGACAAGAAAAATTATGAATGAAATTATTCAAATCAGTAAGACAACATGGTCTAGTAAACTAGGCATGGAACTAGAAATATAATTTCCCAAATTCCAGTTCCTTCCTGCTTACAAATTAATTTGCGTTTACACAGAGAAAGCACAAAAATTAACATTTTACAAACTATTAAAGAGGGAAAAATATAAAATAAAGAACCAAAGACCGTCCCTTTGGGAGAACAAATGATGGAATTCTGTTAAGAATGCTTTTTTAAAACTTATAAAGTACAAGTCTTTTTTAAAACAAAACGAGATTCAGAAAGTAACTGTAATTTTCTTCAGTGTTGATCTTTCTCAGAAAGTACCTCAGTACATGAAAAAGAAATCATAAAAAAGTGTGTCCCACTTCCCCAAGAACACATCCACAAACCAATTCCATCCAAAATCAGTAACATAAACCTGCAAGGACAGTTTCTTTATTATACAATATTTAGGGTTTCCAGTTTATGACTATAGTCATAAAAAGATACTTACTTGGATCATTTAGTTCAGATGGTCTTGTACTCCTCTGTCTTAAGCTTCCTGTAATTTTAGGATTTTTTGTCCCAGTTACAAGACCAACTTTTCCATTCTGTCGCAACATAGAATGTCCTACAACTTCATTACTCAGTAGAATATCCGTTGGACCCTTCCCAACAGCAGAACTATAAAACTTCTTTGTGTTGAACCCTGTACCTGAAGATTTTTGCCCTGTTGAATTCTGATGTATTGAAGAACGTGATAAAGGTCCCACAGATTCACTTAATGTCACAGTTTGTCTGGAGACTCTTTGCAGAGAAGCACTTTCACAATGTCGGCATTTGGTCTGATTTTCATTCGCCCGCCCACAATTTGGGCAATTAGTAGAATAATCAATTTGTTCCAAAAGCTAGAGAAACACACACACACAAAATCAGTAACTGGATAAGTACAGTGATACCATTTCCAAATCTTGCATTTAGTTTCTGTTCAGGCTGAAGACTGATAACATTACATTAGCATTTAAGAGAATGAAAAATGTTCTAACAGTAACAAATTTGTGGCAATTTTTTGAAAGTTATTCATGTTGGACAACTCAGATTTTCCTTCCTGCCTTTTTTCTTTCCATACGTAAAAAGTTGCACACTGTTCAGATACACATATCCACCAGCAAGAAGGTCCAGTTACATCATTTCTGTAGAAAACAGTTTCATTTGACAAAAATAAAGTAACCTAAGAATCCATAGAGCAATACTAAAAAGGACTAGAAGCAGGTCATGAAGTTAATTTGTCCTCCCAAGGTATCTTCTAACAGCCTGGCAAAGCACGTAGAAGAATCATTACTCCACATTAAAAAACAAAACAACAACCCAAAAAAACAAAAAATAAGGCAAAAAAGCCAGGAGGGAGGGGGTGTGGAAATAGGAAATACATTGCTTTAGAGTCCAGGATGTCAGAAAAGAAAACTGGACTTGAGGAGAAGGAGTTCCCCAAACTTTCAAGAGCAAAGCAGGGGCCACAATGGAAAATATGGACAATGTATCCTATCATGGCAAAGGCATGATTTTTCAAAACATAGCTATCACCCCCAGCCATGAACACTTACCCAATAATGAGGACTTCCTTAGGTATGGGATCTTCAATCATTTAAGAAAAACCCAAACGAATGTAAGATCATATAAGGAGTACATATTTTTTCTGCAGTTTAAAAAAGCTACACATATCATAGTAAAACAGATGCAAAAAAACCCCAAAGTCCCAGTATATAAAGTGTATCAGACCTTCAGCCTTTAAAACCCGAGTGGTGGGATAAATAGCATGCAACATGAAAACCAGTGTTGTGCCTCAGTGCCCAGTTACAGAATGCAGTTTTTACAAAGATACTGCATTGAAGAATTTCAATCAGACATTAAAATGTTCAACAGAAGCTACCAATTGTACCTGAAGGATCTTAAGTACAGAATAAATGCCCCCCGCTCAACTGCAACCATACCCCCAAAATTTAAAACCAACTTCATTTCCATGGTTTGAGAGCCTAAATCTTGATGGTAGGGGTAGCAGTGTTTAATTAAGAGGGGCATACTCTTCTTCTAGACTTTATTTTAAGATAAATGACTACTTAAATAGATGAGTTCTACCTAAATGTGTCTGCCATGTAACTTGTATAATACAGCATTTTTTTTAACTTTGAAACCTGTAAACCACAAACACTATATGCCCTACACAAATACTCTGCCCTACATCTAAAAGTTTCAGAATCCAAAGCTTTTGTTATTTTTCAGCTTTTAGTTTAGTAAGCAGATATGATGCAGAAAATCCTCCTTCCTCTAAAAATTATGTACACTTCTAACTATTAAAAAGTGCAACCTGTTATAGCCTAGAAGAGGAAAACCATTTGCATGTTGCCTGACAAGCAGCTGGTTATGTTTGTAATTCCTCTGGCACAAAACCACAGCTAACACTTTCCAGTTGTTCAGAGGTTCCATAAACCTCCAATCAATCTTCTGCACACTTCGACAACTCATGGCTCATGAAAATGCATATGGTTCCTGACAAATGCATAAATTACTGCATTAAATCTCTTTACTGTAATAAAGGATAAAACCCTTAGCCCATTTAAAAACGAAAAAAACCAAGATTTGTGCTAGTGAATTCAGTTGCAGCAAGATCTGTTTTACATCCAGATGTATTCTCAATCTATACAGTCTTATGGGATCAGAACTATCCCATGGGACTGGAGTAAAGATTCATCTAGCCCTTTTCAGCCATGGTATTGGTAGATGGCTGGGAGCATAGCCAGCAGAGTAAGGACATATCCTCCTCATTTGATTTCATTACCAATGTAGACATTTCCTGAGTCAGTGATTGAATTGAAATAAACCTTTTTAATGATGATGTAGCCTCACAAATTTTATCAATCCCTTCTCAAAATCTCCTAATACATTGTGTGAAAAATATGGGGGGGTTGCTTTTCTTAAGCTTACTGCTTGACAGTTTTACCACAGGCACTCAGCTCTAGGGTCTGAGAAAAAGTAACTGGTATCCACTCACGACTGCTGGTGTTCTCAACTTTACAGATTTCCAAGATATGCATGGGAAAAAGTACTGGATGTAATTGTTAAATACTGCTTACAAATGCAGTCTGTCTGATGGCTTTGAAAATTAAATCATGCCCCTGGAACAATGTAATCTAGTCTGACGCTTTTTTATCAGGGAGACAGAGAACAGCTTGTTGTAGCAACATGGTCAGGTACATGTTATCTAGCTCAGGGACACGAAGCTGCTGATGCTTCTACATGCAGCTGTGGCTTCATTTTCCACACGTACACCATCAGGGAAGTAGTTCTGGCCTTGTAATAGGAAGGAATGTGCTCAAAGCACACCTTGCTCTAACATGTAAACAGTCTTCAAGTTAGAGCTAGGAGTTACTGCAAATGGTCTACACTGATCAAAATCCAGCCAACAAACGATGGGGCTGCTCTCCTTCCTCTCATGCTAATTCACGTAAATTGAAAGGAAGACTTAAAGATGACATGTTAGATCTTCAGACTGTTGTTTTGCTTTTGAATTGTTTTTTCCTTTTTTTTTTTTTTTTAAAATCAAGGCTCCATTTATTTTTAAGTTGTTTTCTTCAATTATCATTTCAATCTAGAAGATCATTTTCTTCTTTTTTCCCTTACCAGACAGAATATAAGGTAGGCTGCACTGAATATTTTACTTTTTTAAACAAACATAAATGAAGTTATCAACATAATGCTTAATACAAACCCCACAGAACTATTATGTCTTTTGTTTTTAACTGCTTTGTTACTTCATCACTTAGCTTACATAGATCATACCTATATAGATATTGTCGTGGTTTAAGATCAAAACTTTAGCTATTAAAATTTCCAAATAACATATTAATTAACTAAATATGTAATGTAAATGCGTAAGAGTACCACCAAGCGTTTCAACCTAAACAAGAAATACAGTCAGACTAAGTTTCTAATACACACGAGAAAACACAAGCTGATTATATACAATAATCAAAGATCTACTTTTTCTTTAACCAAGATCTCCTTACAGGAAGCTTTGGTTTCATAGACATACACTGTGACCTGTATGGAGGCATTATGAATCTTCCATAGCAACCTGGGAAGATGGTAACAAATACAGAAAGCCTTATAAGAATTTCCAAAATATCCAACATCTGATGTTCAAAAAAGTTCCAGACAAAACATCCTGGTTGGCTGCATCCAGGTAAGGGAATGCCATTTGGATACCTGTGCTGGTTTCACTGGGAAAGAAAGAGACTTAGGAAGAAGTACTTGCATCTTTGCAGTACCTCTATTGTTATCAGTACAAAAAATCTTGACACTAAAAACGTCAAAGATACCAACATGTGTCAAATAGTGAAATCATTTCTCTATCTCACAGACAGCAAACCCAAATTATCAGTTTCTGGTTCACCAACCAGCCAATCAATTTAAACACAGGTTCTTTTGTTTTCCAGTGCAGCATGTTTGTTTAAAATCAGAAAATAAGTATTTCATACATAGTATCAATATAAACAATTAAATATCTCCATTATTATAACATTTTTAATTATGTAAAACTTTCTCCCAACATTAAGGATTTTTAGAACATTAATTTGTTTCACAACCAAATGCCTGTTTTTAAAATATGCATCAACTTCCAAAGTTAATCAGAAGTTTATATGTTTTCAAAATCTAACCCACCTTTAACTGAGTTAAGCATTTTTTTGTAGCAGAAGATAGAGTCAAGTCAGATTGATATGAATTGCAGTGACGTTTCTGTTGCACCTTTCTCTTAATTTCAGATTCTGATTCTGATTCCGACTCTTCTCTGTTTTCCATTATACTGTCTAGGAGGGAAAAAAAAAAAAAGCAAAAATCTCAACAAGAAATGCTTACTCATATGCTGTTAAAATTATGATCAACTTAATTTTTCACATACACTAACTTGAACTAAACATAAACACATTTTTAAACATCCAACAAACTACACTGCTTCAAGTGTCTCATGATTTTGTTGTAAGAATTAAAAAAAAAAATCCCTGAAGTAATGTTAGTTTATTAATACTATTTCAGTTTCTCTTGGTGCCAATTTGTAGCTTAGTATCTTTGAAGGAGACTTTGGACTTCAAAATCTACACTAACTTCACTACAATGAGAATGAAGCATCTGCTACCGAAAGCAGGAGGGGATCTGCTGGACTATGCTGGTGGTAATTTTCACTAAATCACTGCTGGTGAATGCACTTAGAATAATTGGAAATGTTCTGTGCAATTAGGATTTATTCCTTCAACACAAAGACTCAGCAGTACAGTGAACTATACTGCCGTATTCTGTTTTATATTGGGGCATTCATTTAAATACTGGAAGAGTACAGGAACACAGAAACCCATAAATTAATGTACAGAGTGTGATTTTCTACTTAACATTAACCTGAAAAGGCACAGAAGCGTAACTAGCCAATGCAGACGGCTAAAGCAGCTGAACAGCAGGTTTACAGACTCTATCTGTACCCGTACTGACAAAGCTCAATCAAACACAGTGATTTTTCTATTCCAATTTCACAATTTTCACACCTCAAAGAAAACAGTATTTTCTCCCTTGTCTCTCCATCAGCGGTCCCCAACCAGTGATACAAGAGCATATGCCAGTAGAGGTACAGAGCAGTGCTGATGCCGACTCTTCTATTCACTACCTTAGTGCATGCATATACTGGATACCAAGTGTTATTAACCATGAATGGTCCATTTTTCACATACTAACAGTGCTACAGGAGTTTCTCGTCCATAACTCAAGAACAAGCTGGGGGCTTGAGCTCACATTAGATGATCTCCAGAGATCTGTTCATCTCCAACAATTCTTTGATTCTGAATTTCCCAATTTAGTGGTTTCTAAAATAACTGAAGCCTAATTTAAAATTCATTATAACGTGACTGTGCATAGGTTGCAGGAATCAGTCATAAAGGGGAAAATCCTGCACAAAATTGTATAAATCTAGAATAACATGATATAAGGATATAAATAGATACACTAAACGTTACACAAACTTTGGCAACACACACTCCCAAAGCAGGTATTAAAAAAAATTATTCTGCTTAAAAGAAGTAAGAACTCTAAACATAACTTACCCACTCCTTGAGACCGTGGTAACCTAATGTGGTCTGCTTCTACTTTCTGAAGCTGAGGGGGGTATTCTTTTCTGGAAAATGAATTAGATAGACAGTTGTTCTTTTGACAGACACCACTAAAATTCAGCAATAATTATACATGGACAAAACAAACCTGAAATGTATCTTGAAAGCTATGAATATATAACTTCTCCTCTTACAGGATATTTGTATACTTAAGTATTACCAGAACCCTAGGAACAGCTACTGTAAGGTCGTAGAAATGTTTCTGATCTAAATCCCCTTTGAGCGTAATCAATAGTTCAGGAAACTCTCACTTTCAGACGCAAGTCTTTGAAGACTGAAGCCTGCATCTCCTCCTCATTCATTAAGTACAAGATAGATACTTTAAAAAACCAAACATAGAAACAACTATTATTTTAATATTAAAGTGAATTCCACAAGTTCCACAGTTTAAAAAAACAGGAAGAGAAGATGCAAAACAGAGGAAAGAGATCTGACATCAAAAATTGTTGTGGACAAAAATGCAAAAGAACATGGGAGAAGAGATAGTTCCTATATATTTGTTTTGAAAATATAATAACATAGACAAACTAGTGGATGATAAAAAGCTTTGCTGGTCTAATTTGCATAATATACATTGTTCAAATTAATGCGACATAAAGCATTATAGTAAGATTTTTTAAGTCTCATGAAAGATATTTTAAGTTTACAAACAAGTGTGTCAAATTGGCTGCTACCAAATTAAGACTCCTGAAGCTTACTGCATCTCAGTTACTGTTTGTGGCAGTTCTCTTTCTCAGCTCTCTTACGCTGCTCTGCAGCTGAACATTATGATTCCTGTTATAACAGAAGATGGCACGCACCTGAAACACAGGAGGCCTTGCCAACACCTTCAGCAGAAACTGTTTTTACTGGCAACTTAAGCCAGAACAATGGGCTGCAAATGGGTCACACATATCCCATACTGCTACTTCTGATTTACAAGCGCATTAATCAACAGCAAGGGGGTAAAGCAAACAGCTGTAGCCAGTAACATCTCAAACAGCTAAATTTTGATGACCCACCTGACAAAAATTTGGCTCTGACTGAAGCAAATTCAGCAGTAGGCGTAAGTTTTTACTTCTTTCAGCACAGCATTTCCCTATACATCAAATTATAAAGCCTTTGAATTTTCTGCATTCCTAGGTAATATTTATCAGGGCTTTCCCTGTTCTTTGGAACAAGATTAATTTACAACACCTTTTGCGATACTGCTTACCTAAACACAAACAAGTTTTACTGTCTTAAGAGGCTGCAGCGTGAAGCAAGACTCGGGCAGAAAGGATTGAGAAAGCGTGGCTGGATTGCAACACAGCATGTAGAGACCTCACAGTACCTAACCCTGAGTGCCCACAAACACATCACAGATGACAGATAAAGTAGTTTATTTGTCACTGATTGTGTCAAACGTGTTTCTGAAGCAATCCTGCTCCCAAAAAAGATCTTCTTTTTTTTTTTTTTTTTTTTTTAACATCTGCATGCACAAAAACCTGAACCAAAATCAGAGTCTTAATATGAATATTTGTTCCAAAAGTGTATGACTTTTCAGAAGATTTTCTTTAAAAAAATTAAATCACAATTTACTTTAAAGGCAGAATTGGTGGAAATATAAGACAGAGCTCAGATTAATCCCTACATAGCAAGAAGCTATTACTATCAAAACCAATGATAACAACATTCTAAAGGGTAGAAGAAACTTAACACCATTATAGGAAATTTAAAAAAATACAAACTTTGCAGTAAGGATGTATGAGCTGTTTTCTGACATGTTATAATTATCTCCCAGTAGTATTTAATAACATTAAGTCTTGTTTTGAACATAACCACTGACTGAAGAAGTATTTTCTGTAAAATATTTTAAATAGACATTTCACCAATATTTAAGATCAAAAATACTGCAACTCTTTGACATTTAATTGAAAGCAATGAAAACAATACGGAGATTTAGAATACTAAAATATCTTAAAAATTAGTTTGCCAGTTAAAGGTCTCTGGACATTTTTAAGTTATTATTTTTCTTCTAAAAATCGTACAGGTTTGTATTACATTTTTAACATGCAACATGTATTTATTGTTTTAAGATGGTAATTTGCTTACCATATATTGCTAAAGAATTTTTTGACAATAAATCAGAATACAGTAGCGTTATTTACCCTTGTCTAAATTTTGTGTTTATCAGTATAGACTGATATTGATACTTACTAAATGGCCAAGCACTTGCAAGAATACACAAGTATATTTCTTCTCCCACAATATGCTTTTACTTGTATGCTCACAATGAACCAGTAACACCCAAACTTAAGTTACAAAAACCAGCTCCAAGTCAACTGAGGCTTTCCAACACAGTTTAACTTGGTCAGCAATTCAAAATCAGGTCTGAAGTTGCTTTCAATTAAAAACAAAAGCAAAGACAATTTTTAACACTACTTAATTGGAGACTTCATCCAAAAAGAATGCTTTCTTGGAGATAGGGGCAGCCCTCCCACAAAAGGGCAGCAACTCAAAGTGTCTCCTACTAGTTTCCTTTCCTGAAAAACCCACACACAAACAAAAGAACTCAGAGCAGAGTCCAGCACCACAAAGTTCTTACAGACGACAAAATGAAGGCTCCCCTCTCAGCACAATGTTCATTGACATTTGAACAGCTGCAGATCCATTAATACCTTCTCTACTTTACTAAGTACACTGAGTGGTTTAATTGCGTGTGAGTGCAGAAACAGGATGGAATGGAAACTCTAGTTGTGGGCTTTTTTTAAATCAAACATGACACCTATCTTTAAAAGGACTATTTGGAAAAGAAAAAATCTTATCAGAGATTAAAAAAAGATACAGCACTTCAAAACAAATGCCTTCATGCTGTTAAATCCTAACTTAGAGTCTCCCATTTCAAAGTAAATAAATGAGGGATCAAATAGCCAAACAGATTAAGATGCAAGACTATCTATGTACTGTGTTTAACAGAAAAACCCCAAGAAATACAATATTGATGCTGTTCCTACCAAATACTGAAAATACATAATTTTCTTTTTCTTTTTGTCTTTTTTTTTTTTTTTTTTTTTTTTTTTTGCCTGTTAGATTTCCCAGAGATCTAGATTTTGCTGGAAGAACAAGGCTTCGTGCTCTGAGATTAAATCATTTTAGACATCTCACCTCATTCATTATAAACAGTTCTGATTTTAATAACTTAAGTACAAGGGAGGTAGACCAGTATTTGATAAAAGCAATCTCAAGAAGTAGTAAAGCATCAAACAGTAAAACATTAATTACAGTAGCAAGACAAGTCAGGCTCTTTCGCCAGCAGACATGACAAAAATACTGAAGTAGTCTGAACTGTGGAGAATCCTGAACTTTTGACACATCTTAACAGCTAAATGGTAAGGCATTCTTCATTAAACATGTTTTGCCCAGATAGAATAGTGTCACTGATTTAGTATCTTCAGCACATATTTAAAATTATTGCCTTACTCCTATGCTGATGGAATTGCACTTTAATTATCTTCACGTTGGGTTGGTAGATAGACCTCTGTGACACTCTCCAGCCAAAGTGAAATTTTAATCTTGAAAGTTACTCTCTATTTAAAAAACAAAACAAAAAAGAAAAAAAAAAAAGGGGGGTGGGGGTCCTGAAGGGTGGTGAACATGACACAGAGGAATAATAATTTCTGTCTATGCCAGAGAAGAGTAAATGTAAAGAAAAAACTACATCTGGGAATTCAGGATACAGCGCTGTCTTAGATCAGAGCTTTCAAAACTACCCACGATCTGGTACGAACCACTTCAGTTTGAGAGAGGCTGCCTAATTCAGCTTTCCCTCACTCTGCCTCTGTATGCTACTATTTGGAAGTATACCATCACAGGCAAGCTGCTGGTTTCCCCATTATTACACAAAAAGCAGAGCAAAGCATGGTAAGATAGGAACCACCAAGCTGCTGAGGTGAGATTTTCCTTCCGCGTGTCTTATAGGAAAAGCAGAGTACAACAGTCAAAGCTGAGAGAGAGAAGTGCAGCACAGGGATTTGGGGGTTTAGCACGCAGGTCAGTAGCCCCATCTGGCCCAGAAAGTCAGAAGCTGCAGCTGCACTTACCATGATGGCATTGATTAAAACTAAATTTAGGACCTTCTGCCTAAATCACCTTCCCCTGCTAGGACAGCAACAAAAACAAGGGAAGGGAAAAAAAGAACATCTCCAGTAGTACTGGATTAAAAAGCAACAGGTGTCCCCAAGGGAAAATTAATATCACGAGCATGGCACTCAACCCTGTTCTTTCATGACATACAGTGCCAAATTAAAAACATTAATTGTTGAATGGCTAACTAATAACATAAATGCAGCACAAGTTAGAACAGGAAAGAATACATAAACTCAAAGCCCAGGCAGCAAAAATACAATCAAATCCCTTCTTAGAGGGCCAGCACTAACCGGTGAGTATCTCTGAGATTTCTTTTAAGAAGTAACAAAACGCAATAAAACAAAAAGGCTCAATTTTACTACTTAATCTAGAAAATCCTGAATTCACTAAGAATAGATCTACATGATATTTCTGCATTATTTATATCCTTACTGGTTAAACATTATATACACTGTTCAAACAATTCAACATGATACCTAGCACATACTTTCAAAACCACCTACATAGACACGATATTTACAAAACTTCAATGAATTCATTACTATCAACAAAACATTTCCACTAATATGTAAGTTTAAACTATATAGAATGAAAACCAAATGTATTTCATATTGCTAATGAAATATTAACAGCAATAAAACAGATGCAAAATGTGTGAGAAATGAGCCTGAAATGAGCAATGAAAAACCAGTATGCCTGGTTTTGCTATACATTTTCTGTTAACTGCTTTAACACATACACTTCATGAACAGAATGTACACAGTAATGCAATAAAAACCTTTAATGCTATTCAAACCAAGCTGAGATGAGAGTGAAAGCTGTTAAATACCCTACTGAGATACGCTTCAGAATCATTCTATTGCAGAAAGTTTGCTACTCTATGAAAAGAATTATCAGCAAATTCTTAAATTCTGGAGAAAGATAAAATTTATCTATTTTCACACTGGCTTAGTAAATAGGTAAGTTACCACTGGAAATGTACCCGAAGTTCATGTTAACACAGCATTTAGAGAAGGATGTAAAGATCCTTTTTTGGTAAAAGGGAGTAAGTGAATCACAAAACCAGAACAAAAACAACAAACTCCTATCACACATGAGCAGATATGATTGACTGGATTGAATATTCTTTAACCACAACTGCTTTAAAGCACTCAATCAGTTAATTTTCTTAATGCTCATTGCCATGCTCATTTCATCAACAGTAAGCTTACCTTTCCTTTCGATCCAGATTGCTTAAAATATGAAAAAAGAAAAAAAAACATAAGATGCAAAGCCCCACATGTTTTGCACATCACTAAATTCAAAAGGTATTCAATATAAACTATAACTGTTTCATTGTCTCTTATACTCACTGGACTAGTTTTCAAATGAGCATTATTATTTTTCATAGCATTTTTGTAACAGTAATTATAAACACAAAACCAAATGTTACTTCACAGACAGCAATGGTCCAAGTACTACACTGTCTTGCCTTTTCTTCAACATGTAAAATTTGATTAATTCCAAACTCAACCTGGCAATTTCACATAATTTACTGCAGTGTAGAACCTGACATGACAGAATCCTAATACATGAATTAAGATCAAGCCTTATTTTCAACCCAATTGCCATGCGAATCACGATAAAACAAATTTACATAACAACTTGCTTCCAACTACTCAAAAAATATTTAAGTGTTTAAATTGAGAGAAAAAAAAAAATAAAAATCCAGAAAGCACTATTTAAACCCTTAGGAGACTACATGCAATCAGCTACTGCATAGAGAAGGCTAAACAGAAGCAACCAGCGTCCTCCTGAGGTTTTGGCTAAGAAGAATCTCCAAATATATTTAAGAATTAGGGCTACTAGTTTCAGAAGCGCCTCCATTAACATCAGTGCACAGAGCTGATACTCACAACTCAGGTCCTTTGTATACCAAGCCCAAGATAAAAATAGATCTAACTAAGCACAGCACAAAGGCAACTTGAGAACACTGTCGTTATCTCTTCTGCCTTTTCAAAACTCGCAATATAGAATGCTGTAAGCTTTTAATCTATATGGCTGTTCCTCCCAAATACCAAAAACCTAACAAACTTCTCTCATATATGCATTACACTTAGAATATTCTAAAAGAGAATTCAAACTGTTTCCTGGTTTACAGCAGTCAAATTAAACAGCGTAATGATATTACAGGGTAATATAAACTCATTCTCCTTTCCTTTTCACAAACAGAACACTCACAAGAATAGGGCAAACTCTTTGTTACCCAGTGGAACAGCAGGACTGAAAGTAGACCAGGTAAGAGGGTAATCCTGATAATCCTACAGAGTGCAGTATAAAAACATATTTAATCTCCACAGTGCTCTAGGAAGAGAGGAAAAGGAATTCAAAACTGAATGCGACCACTGCAACTTCGACTGAGATGAGGCTGATCAGCCAATGCTGCATGAAAATGGCGAAAAATTGCTTCCAACTGGAGCTGGCCTTTACAAACAATAAACATTTGTGTTTTTTGCAGGTCACATCTGAGTTTATAAATCCACTCTGATCCAAACCATGTCCAGATGGAGCCAGATCCAGTATCTTTGTATCCTTGGCACAGTTAATATGTAACTTGGATTAACCGTTTACAGGTGCTGTAACGAGTCATACTGTTAAGAACTGTAAATTTTAATACTAAGAAAACATAAGGGCAGGAAAAAAATTGAGAATGCCCGATACTGCACATTTTCATTACATTAGATGCCTCACTTGCTTGTTTTAAAATCCCACATTAATATGATGCATTTTAAAAAATTCTCACTTTTAAATCTCTCAAACTTTAAGAAATGAGAATCCTGGACAGATCCAGGAATTACAATCAGTGTCCCTACAAATTGCTTCATACAGCTCATGTATAAGGTGTCTTAAACATGCCGTACATACATGCTATTCCAGTGCCAAGTCTTAGAGAGCAGTAAGTCAGCAGTGTAAGAAAAAACTATGCACCCATTAAGTGAAGCAAAATAGTCTGAACCAACACTAGGCTAAGCCATATCTGAAAATCTGCTGTATCAGAAGTGAACAAATTTCAATGTCATCCCCAGATTGCATTAGAAAACCATGAATAGTATTTACCAAAATATTATTTTGAAATGCCAGATTTTGTTTACTGGAAGCTTATATTTTACATATGAGTACAACAGATACTCAGACAAAAATTAATAATTAACATGCATGTGCAAAAAAGTTGGAGAAAGAACTGAGAAATACAGGACACATTACAGGCTCCAAATTCAACTTGATAGAGATTACGATTGAGATTCATAATTAGTTTGCCCTGTGTGACACCATCCCCACACAAAGAACCCAGTATAAATAACAGAATCTGTAACGGCAGTGCCAGAGAGTCAATCTGCTCAGAACTAATTTAATAATGGGTTTATTTTCAGTTATCCATTTAATAATCCACTACAGATTTAGGAATGATATACAAGGTTAGTTAAAACTATTTTCTCCGTGTTGTTTCTGTTCACCATTCCATAAAACAATTTTATAAATGCAATCAATGTAAAAGAACACATATTTGTGTTCCTTGTAAATTTGTATAGGAAAAAACCCCCAACACCTTAGAACTCAGTTTCCATGCTACCAGCTGTACTTTGTCTTGTGTCTAATTATCTAATGCTATTTATCTTGATATAATACCTAAAATTTTACTCAGGTTTGCATCCCGCATTTCCTGCATATACTCCTTTCTGAGAAGACATCACCAGAATTTACTTTTAAACTCACTATTGCCTAATGTAGGCAAAAACTAGCAAAAAAAGATTTAAAAACCCACACATAACTAAAACTGTATAACCAAAAAAAGCATACCCACTTTATATATACTGGAATTCTGTATTATGAACAGTTTTCAATAGTCCTATTTTACTTATTTTTTTCCTAACAATAATTGTCTTTTCATTAATAAATCTACATTTTCCATATCAAGCAGTCTTGAGATGCCTCTTCTTTTTTAACTAAAAAAAAAAAAAAAACAAAAAAACAACAAAAAACAAACCTAACCGTGTTACAGGAGACCATGTTCTATTAATTTTCAAACCTCTACCTCAGAAACAGATTTAGAAGCCTTTAACAAGTAGTCAATTGAGTCAACTGGCAAAAGACACTGGAATTAAATACCCTTTGCACAGGTCCCCTGTAAAGCTCACCCTCAGTCAATTAGATCATGCTGGTTCTGACATCCTCCAGTAGCAAAGCATTGCTTGGAATTGTTATGACTATTTCCTGCCTTTGAACTGCCAAAAATATCCTTAGTTAATTGTCTGTTGTTAATGTAAATGAATTACAATAACAACCCTAAAAAGAAAACATATTTAGAAATATTCAGGATGACTAATATCCAATTACTTCATGCAATATTCAGCTTACCTATATTATGCAATAGTTTTCCTTCTGCATGTCACATGGAGTTGCTACTTCTGGGTTTCTTTTGCACACTACATTGTAGGCTTACAAAGAAGCAAGTCCCATAGGTAAGACAGGCAAGCAGGCAAGACTAGCATACCCTCAAGATTAAGACTCTCCAGAGCAGACTCTCATGCATGCTGAAGAAGCCTATGGCACTTAACTACACAAGATGAATCCATGTTGACCGGCTGTTTCAAAGAACCATCTCACAACACAACTTAATCAAATACACTAACATTATTAGGGTCAACATTCAGAGATGCAGTAAAGAGCAGTCTCACACTATTTTACTCACTTCAAATCATTTTAATTAGCACTACAGATCAAGATTTTATCCCTTACAATTACCAAATTAAAAAAAGAGTATGAATGCTTAGAGATGCCCCATGCTTTCCTCAATCAATACTGAACAAAAATATTCTGAAAAGGACTGTATGTAAGAAGAAGAGCACAGCTGGTTCAGCCCAAACTACACTGGCAAGATAAACCTTGTCTTTCAGTTTAATTTGTAGGAAAAGCTCTGCCAATCCTCCTTAGTCATCTCTGCCTCGCCATAATGACAAGAAATGTAAAGAACAGGGAGATCCCTACTACTGCATCTGCTATTACTAAGGGGAAGAAAATATACATGCTATTTTCCATTTACAGATGATAGTACAGTTTGAAATAGGAGGCAATAATGGTGTAGCTCCTCAGGGACAGGACTGCAACTTCCATTTTTCAGCCTATTTCTTCAGTGCCAGACTACCCCAATACGTTTGGATCACTTCATCCAAATTAGTGTAAGGGCTTTGTTTTTCTGAAGATAGCAAATCAAAGTGAGAGAAGTGTGACGAAAAAGAGGCTAATGCCTACATATGAGCTCACCACCTCAAAAATCTACGCTAAATAAGCAGAGAGGAAAAAAGAGGGCAGAAGAAGGAGGCTATGAAATGCTGACACGATGAAGTACTCATGGCCTGGTAGAAATCCAGGAAATTCATAAAGAGAGCTCTGAACGGACAAAATTTGAAAGAAAATTCTTGAAAGCTAATGCTCATATATTTTTCATTCACATTGAGTGTGAAAAGCCTGTAAAAAAATTAAAATCCCTGTCTGATGTAGTTATAAGTTTTCAAACCTATTAACTCAGCATAGCTGAGTAAGATTCCCCAGACATTCATTCTAACAACTAGTTATATAAATGAAAAACCTTGCTTCTGTTAGATGTTCCAGTTTATATGTTTTACGCTGTATTTACAGACTACATACAGTCAACAGATCTATAACTTAATCTTTGGATGGATCTTGTACAAACTGGAGTTGCTCTGAATTAGTATTTGAAGATCATGTTGTCAGTTATGTGAATTTCTACTGCCTACTATGTCTGTCCATTTCAAAGTATTTTTGAAACACATTTACATCAGCAGGTGCTCTCCTACTGAGTGTGTGCCATAATGTGCTTTAAAATTAGTAAATTCTAAGATTAAATAACAGTAATTCCTAAATGATGTCTTATGAAACTTTAGTAATTAAGATCAAAGCTTGTAATGAAGAACGCACCAAATAATTACTTCTTTCCTTAAAATACTTCATAGCATAAGGAAAATCATTACATGCAAAAGCAGAAAGGACTTTTTACACTGGGAACATCTGGAGAAACAAATGTACTTAGCCTTACCTCTGGGCTGCCGTTTTTACTACTGTTGTCTGTGCATGCGCATGGTGAAAACGTCTACCATGTACCACAGTTACAGGACAAGACATGTTCTGAGCATTTTCACTGCAAACATATAGAAAAATGGTTTCAGAAAAGACAAAAGGACTCCGGTGTATTTGTACATTGTCTTAACTAAAAATTTTGGTGTCCTGCTTTTACAAGAATAGCCATACAAAACCAAGTATCAACCAAGTATTTCTGAATCAGTAATTCAACTTGTTACTGTCCTTTGACAGGCATAAAAACATTCAATCTTAGACTAAAACACACAAATAAGAATATACACAATTCAATGTTGATTTTTTTCCACCCCCGGGAAGAAAAGGTAAAGATTTTTTTAAATTTTACCACCATCTAATACGCTGTGAACCAGCTCTCTTTTGCCTCCTGTCACTGCAAAAAGACACTGCCTTTTTTTAATTATTACTTATATAGAATTAATAAAATTTTATATAATGCGTATTTTATATTTATAAAATATATACTGTATGTTATGTATAATTTTATTCATACTTTATATGTGACTGATATAATTAATAAAATTATAATTTATAGTTCCATATCTCATTTTATTAAGACATAGTATTAACTTCTTTAATATGACAAAGGGCATAACATGAACAAATTGCACATTCTGGAACTTCCCTCATCTAGTTACTCAAAACAGAAAGAAAACACAGCAAATGTAAGGCTGTAAGATGGCTCATAACTGAAACACCACAAGACATCTCAAAAAGAAGAAAAAGAGGGATTCTTGGGTACTCAAATATCTGAGGAGGACTATGCAAAGAGACAGCATATTCACTAGTCTTTTTTATAATTTCTCTGGTTTCTTAATTTCTTGCCTTTTGACATTTTAACCTCATTACTGCGTAAAACCATTCTGGAGAGAAGATTACTTACCATTATACTCTCTAGTAAAACCTGATATAAAGATATTGTAGAACAATAATATAGTACTCGATGGAAGATTATTAGACACCAAAAATTATCCCCCACACTTCTGTAACCAGACACACAATACCATATTTGAAATGTTCAGAGAGCAGGCAACTTTTTACAGAGAGCATGTTGATAATGTTTCAAATTATGGAAATACAATGTTTAAATTTTGCTTGTAAAACTGCTTGGAAATTATAGTTGTACTAAATAAAATGATGTGAAAAAGCACTCTTAATAATATTTCTCAGAATTATTATTCAGCAGTTTTGCTTTTGTTCTGTTACGAACAATCAAAAAAAATCTAAGTACCAAAATTCCCCTAAAAGCTGACAATCAATTACTAATCCTTTTTTTACAGTCCCCCAAAAGACAGAAGTGAGCAAACTGCTAGCTTGCCTGTTATTTTTTAGTTTAGCACTACAAACCCTTCTGGGAGCCTTATGTTGAGTATCATAAGCCAATATTAGAGCTTTCAGAGTATTTCTGACTGGCCATAAGATGACTGTTACGATCTGACGTAATATAACCATGAACATAACAGCACAAGATTATCAAAACCAACCAAATGCTAAAACTCTTTCCTAGAATATGAAGTTTAGAAACATTATAAAAGTTCGGAGTTAAATGTTCCGAGTTCAATTTCCTGAAAACTAAACCAATAGCATCCAATTCTCACACCAACCTCTTTAAAGTAAAAACACTCATCCTACGCTGCTTCTAAGTCAAGACTATGCAACTGCAGCTGGTCAGTCATCATCCAGACTAATCTGCAGTCATCTTTCTGTTTAATGTTGTCACCTAAGAAATAAAAAGTTGACAGCTACTTGCCCTAAATACTTCATGGTATCCGAAATCCTCTCTGGCTTCCAGTTTAACGGCTTTGAAAGAGACATTTTCTCAGAAAAGAAAACACAAGGAGAGTGCAGGATTGCCTTCTCAAATGCTTAAGGGGTTTAAACAAGCAACTAAGTCTACAAACACACCTATCCCACGTTTTATCTTTTTTTTGTTGTTGTTGAATCTGAGCTTTGCCAAGCTATCATGATTGGGAAACTCTAAGTCTTGTGCCTCTGCAGACAAAAAGCTGCTAACACTCTGCCTTCTGCCTCACACTCAAGTAGTTAGAAGCTCCAGTAGGTACTGGAATAGAATATTGCAGCCTGCTGGGTGACCACATTTGAATCAAAGTCAACTGTTCTAGATGGCACACTTAAATGGTTCATATGGTGTCAGATATGCTTCCAAGTAGGACAGCCGTAAAATACAATCTGCTCTATCATGCTGTTCTTTGAATAGAACATACCCAGTACAGACAGGATCACCAGAAAATTTAATCATTAAATCCTAGCAAGTTGCAAAATAGCATATCCAAACCGAAACCTGGGTTTGCAAGTTTCAGCACAGTTTCAAGAAAATTAACATACAACAACAAAACCAGGTTGATGGAATGGTCAGAAAGTTCCTTGAAAGAACAAGTGTTCTAGAAGTCTCAAAGACCTTACAATATATTAATATACATCTCTCCTTGACATGATCTCAAAAACCACAGCATCATCTAAAGTCTAGGCTCCAAGGAAAAAAAGGTTACACTATCACATTCTATCAGCTGATGCTAGGAACTTCCTAACACCACAGATTCAAAAGGCAAAGCACAGAATAATCTTGCACTGGTATTTCAGGAACACAGAACACAACTACAGACTACATTAATTCTTCTGTTCATTAAATAACTTTTTTCACAAAATATTACAGAACAAAAAAAAAAATCTAAAAGGGACTTAATAATGTGAGAAATTTTGATACAAGTTATTGAAAACCAGCACAGAAAAAAGCCATCTAAAGCATGACTGATTAAAAAAGCCCCAAACGACAAAACTATTAGGGTTAAGTTAGTTTCATGCTGGATTTGCTTAAATAGATAACGGACAGTAATTTTTGGGTTGGTTTAAATTTTTGTACATTCAAATGTAAATGTACAGGGAAAATTTCTTCTCACTGTCCTTGCATATCCCTTGTTCCTATCACTGATTTCCTGAATTTTAGGGAATACTGTACTACAGTAATAATAATTTGAGTCAAACCCCACCGATCTGAAGAGTTTTTAATCCCTATGCCACAGACAAAGTAGAAAAAAAAAAAAGAGACTTCAACTTTGTGATAAAAATCCCCATGAATAGCTCACAAATCTCAAGCATCTGATCATCTTGTACTTCATCTAGCAACTAATGGACCACCAGTCCAGACTGGAAATTCTGAATTTGTTCCCTGTACCTCTGGCTCAAAGATCAGAACAGCAGGAAAGGGGACACATCACACAGGACTTCAAGGATTTACTTTCTCAAGTGATTCTGTGTTAAGACGGCGCCATTAACCAATAACTGGCCCAACTACAGGTACCTTACGAACTTTTCCTTCCTGCAAAGGTAATCAAATTGAGTGCACTTTAGCAATATGAAACACTCCCAGCAAAAATTACATGAATGTACCACTTTTTATTACATAATAAAGAGATTAATCTGTTACAAGCTAGGGACAGCAGTAACAAGCAAGTACGGAACTGAATGCTTAAACACTGTTCCTGTCAGCTCTAAAGGCAAGAGACAATCTCAAGCTATTTTGCAGGAGTACATGTATTTCTGAATCCTTTAAAGGAACAGTCTGTGACTCCTAAATCAAACGACATCTTGCAGTAAGGAAAACAGGAAATGCACACTGAGTTAATCTTGACAATTCACAGTCATGGAAAGGAGAAATTCTTGATGGGGATGTTAGAAATATTTTTCTACCTGTTAGCAATAGCATATGCAGACAACATTGGTAAGGCATTGGCAAGTATGCCAGTGAATGCTCTAACTCTATTTTAATAATCTTCTGCTATTTTAGTAATATGCTATTTAACATTTTGGAAGAGCAAAAACCTTAACAATCTGGTATTCCATCTCTGCTCAGAAGCACAGAATAGCATAGCTTTTCCAAATGCACAGCACATAATGCAAATATACTACACATTCTGTTCATTTAGCATCTATTTGTATCAATGATGAAATAAGTAAGCAAACATAAAACTAAAAGCAGTACCTCAGTTTCTTGCTATTTCCCATCATGTTGAGGCCAATTGAGTTCCCTTTAAAAAGTCTCAAGCCTCCAGCTTTGCCTCGCCTTGCATACGTTTTTAAGGAATCGCCACTGGTGCCGACAGCTCCAGGCCGACAACGAAGTGACTGTAACAAAAGAATTCACGGGTATTAAAATACTTGTATAAAAGGAAAAGATTTCTTACAAAATATGTACATATTACTTTGGCTTCATTTTCAGACTGCTTTTGTACCAAATTTAATGTAAAATATACTCTGTCTACACCCTTACTCACTAGGATCCCTTACTAAACAAAATGTGACTATTTTCAAAGTATTAGGAAGCATCTTAGAGTTGTAAGCTATTTCAGCATACATTAAAATAAAACACAAAAAGCATGAGTTTTGCCTATGTATCTTCTCCTTCTATACAGATATACACATACACACATGAATATAAGCATACAAAATTAGGAATCCCACAGTAAACAATCATGGGACATAATGACTAAAATTTGTGATTAAAAAATACAATCCCATTATGATAACTATCTAAACTTAGAATTATTTATTCATGCTCCCATTTTCAGAATACTATTCAGAGATCTATAGGAGTAAAAGGAACAAAAACATTAAGGGTAGGCAGACAAACAGCTTGAGCATATGTTGTTAAATCAACACATAAACTTTCATTTTGCAATATCGCACAGATGACTATGCAACATTGTTTAATAACCTAGAATGCTTTAAAGATACATTTTCACCATGAGATAAACAAAGTACTTGCCTTTCTTTCTTCATTGGTACTGAAAGGTCCATCACTGTCATCTATGCTGAGCAGATTTGCCTCGCTAGATAGGTGTGGGAGAGAAAAGTAAATACCTTGTAATACAACGAAACACCAGCAAAATATTTTAAACACAAAGGGCTTTATTTTTTTCCTTCCCTCTTTAAATTTAAATGCATCACATACATATTATATATACGCCTAGAACAACAGGAACATATAAGCGGGCAAGATAGTGACCCACACATACTATGCAAACCTGAACTTAAGTGTACATCAAATTATTTCACAAAAAGCAAAACTGAAAGGATGTTATTAGTTCAGAACAGAGAAGACTGTTGAACCTTCAGTACTGTTACGGCAATGTTACTGACATCATGTATACCCTTATGTATAAATCGAGTCAAGTATTAAACTATAAAACACAGTCTAAGTTTGTTCATGCATATCAATATTCAAGTATGTGGTTTAAAACTGCAAATTTTTTTTTTTTGGGAGAAGAGTTTTAGGAGAAGAACTTACGTATAACTAAATTTTATCCCACAGCAATTACTGCAAAAATATGTCTTCCTAAAAATAGCATATTCAGTCTGGCTCAACAGCTCATTAAATTGTGTATCTTTAGTACTTCTGTGTCTGTAATCTTCAACTATCACAATGGGGAGGAAGCTACAAAAAAAGAAACCCACCCCATGATAACTGTGAAAACATACTCTTTTCAGTAATAGGCAATTATCCTCCAGTATCTAAATTAAACCCCCAAGAATGCATTTTATACTGATAGCAGCTACATTAGGCTAACACGTTCTTGCTTCCAGAAGCAACCTGCAGATAATTCCTTCTCATCAGTCCTGATAAGGTTAGTCCTCTCTAGGCTGCAACAAAATAATACAACTTTTAGCCAACTTGTAATTGCATAGGTTTGGGGGGTTTAATTCATCTCATTCAGACAGAAATTACTTATACAAGCAGTTATGCCAGGAGTTTCAAGGGAACAGCTACACAAGAGAAAAAATGATGGAGGTGATGGTGGAAATGTTTCTTAGCTGCACGTGTGACAGGTTGGTTGCAATAACATAGTGACTTTAGCTCTTAATATATAAAGTAACCATTCAGCACACACGTACCCCCCAATTTCCTAAAAACATCTTCCACACACCAGATTTCCCTGATGCAATACAGATATCTCTAAGTCAAATTAAAAAAAAAAAAAAAAAAAGAGGAAGAAAAATGTTCTTGGCTCACAGGGTAAGAATCGCAGACCCTGAAAATTCAGGAGATAAGACTGTGCATACAGTTGGCCTTGATATTGGAAGAATGATGTAAATGTCAAGGCTCAGCCAGTGGCACTGTCATATTTTCCTTGCGTTTACAGAGATATGTAATGATAAAACTATGTAGTGGATCATCACTAACTTCCAATATAAAGCATCACAAAGACAAAATAGTTGTACTTCAATACAAACTATGCATGGATATTAAAATTCTAAAATACTCTTAATATTTTTTTAAACTCTCTTTCAGGATAGATTATTCTTTCCAGGGAGGCTCACTGATTTTTCTTAACCATTCATCTGAAGACACTGAGTTTTAACAATTTCAGAAATCTTGCAGATCCTACAGAAAAAACAAAACGCTGCCGCACAGACCTGAACAGCAACCTTATGGCACCTGCAGCTCTGGCATTTACTTACTGTGTTTATCTAGCCAGACCATTTAATCTCTAGGTAGGTTTTACTTCTTCAGCTCCAGCTTATGTAACAATCATGATGATTTTCAGAATGTCCTTGTACAGTGGCTATAGTTTTAGGGCTTCAAGATGCCACAATACTGCAGCCATTTTAACAAAGGTGTTCAGGTGGGTGAAAGAGAAGAGAAAATAACAGACTGCAAGTGAATGGAACACTGAAAGAAATCCTTTAATCAAACTGAACCAGAATAACACTTATGATGTGATTAAGATGACATGGCTAGAAAAATATCCGGGAATTGGATGTTCTTAAAGAACCAGTATTTTTAGATTTTAAGGAATGCAAAGTATACGCACCAGTATCAGAAAGGCTGTTTTTTCAGAGAGCTGAATACATAGCAACTGAGTAATGTCTATTTGCTCATGTATCACATGTCTACAGTTGCCTGCTTAAAAGATGCAATTTACACAGACAGGGAAAAACCCCACTATCCCACACTCCCACATAACCAGACAGTAACATTTTAACACTACAGAACTGAAATCTCAGTGGTCTTGCTGAGAGAAGGCTATGCCTCCATACTTTGTCACTTTCAACCATTTCAATAATTTCTAACTTTTAAATACTTTAATTAAAATTTTATAACAAAGTTGAAGCTTTTACTAAAATTAGGGGGAGGGGGAAGAAAAAAAAAAAAAAAAAAAGAGTAAAAATTTTAGGTAAATAGAGTTCTTTCCGAAGGGGAGTTCATAATTGTGCATTCAAATTTAGGTGTTGAACAAGAAAAAAAATAATCCTGATTAGTAGCTCTAATCACTTACCATTTATTTAATGTTTTAAAACATTAAAAACTGTGCAATAGCCAGATACCTCAATTTAATAGACCATGAGTTTAATACTATCTACAGGCAACCCAGATTTTAAACCTCTCTCATTCACTGATTCAGTCACGTTTTGAACGTAATTAGAATTTCTCTGAAAACTCCTACATACAAAAACAAGAGGCTGATGTTTTTCTCCTCAAAGCGCACTGTGTACATTCTTGATTTTAAATTACATGGTGGTAGGCAGTGCATTAAAAAAAGCGCTGGTATCAGAGACACAAGAGAAGTAGTGGTATTATTCAAGCCATGTACAGTGCCATGCCATTAAAAATAACCTTAACTAGAACTGCTAAAAACCAAGAATTGAGGCTCTGAACAAAAAGGTCTGATCAATTTAAAAGCTGTAGTGCCTTACTAACAGGGTCAAAAAGAAGCATAAAACATCTACAGAAGCATAGGGGTTTTTTGAAAGTGGAATAAAAAGGAAGAAATTATTAGAAAAAAGCTAAACAAATTAAAAAAAATAAAATCACTGCTTTTAGAGTCAGGAACACAAGGGAACAAGCAGCTTATCCCCCTAATTAAAAGGTAATAAGAAAAAAAAACACTTTTGTAAGAAAAAGTTAAGAAAGGACACCATAACCCAAATATTTATTTATTGCCCATTTATTTGTACTCAATTTTTGATAAGGCTATTAATGAACAAATCTCAGCGGAAGGCCTAAGCCTGGATTCCTAAAAAAATGGTACAATAACCAGAACACTGGGCCCATCAGTTTACAAAACCACTGTGGGGCACATTGAGATGTATTTCAAAAACATTTACCCAGATTTTAAAAAGGAATCAAGTACAAATTAATATATTATTTTGGCCATGTTTGCATAAGTCTTCCATCCTTTCATGTCTTCTGCTACATAAGATACACATCATTTCCATCATTTATTCTGTGATGGTTTACAAAAGTTTCAGTGTGTTCCACTGATCAACTGGGTTTTTTACTATTGCTCTACATAAAGGTTCCTCTCCTGTGGGATCACTGAGTACAAAGCAAGAAAAGTCTCAAGTCACTTGCTATCATGTTGATTGCTCTCTTGAGTAGATCAAATTTTGTAAATCATAAAAAATGTTACTTTTACTCTTTCAAGTGGACTAAGGATTATCTGCAGGCATTTACTTTGGGATAAGATACTTGTCCACTACCATTTTAAATTTCTGTAACTTTAGTTCCATGCCAATTATCAACTCCAGCAGCATTTTAAAATGCATATATTGTGTTGGATGATCCTTAATTTTTCCAAATCACCTCCAGTTTACAAATGTTCTTTATTCTTTTTGTGTTCATTACTGAAAACCTTACCATTACAACACAGGTCAGGTGATTCCCCAAATAAGTTCCATGACACACTGCTTTTAAAATAATCTACCTATTCTGAAAATTGCTCTGGCAGAAGGTCATTGGCCACATATTCTATGTTCATCTCATTGAGGAAAGATAATCCCAGCAGACATCCAGTATTGACCAGCAACATCAGCAAAGGGCTCATGGAGTAATACAAGAATACAGGCAACCCTTTAAGGGCTGGAATGTTACTGTTATTCTTGGGCCAGCTCAAAACAAACTTATTGCGTGTCTGCCATTAAGAGGGCAAAAAGCTGTGATAAGGTCAGACACTAAAATGCTAGTGCCTCAACAACAAGGATAAGATGCATCCAGATGCTTCTTCAGATTTACAGCTTTCTCCACACAAAAGTGCAGTTAGTTACAAGCAGTGCAGTGCACCATAGTGAATGACTTTTTTTTTTAAACTGCCAGAATATATACTTATTATAGTATACTCAAAACACTGGGGGGATGCAAAGCTTTATGCTGGAACAACTCTGTGAACTAAAGCTGCTAATCTTTGAGATGTTCTGCTAAGGGTAAAGAGAATTTAGAAAGAAAAGGACAATTTTACTCCAAGCTCATGATGCCACTGGGGTGTGTGTGTGTGTGTGGTAGAAAAGGTGTTGTTTGAAACAAATACATTAGTATTGAGAAAACATATTAGTAACAATAAAATATCACAAGGACAAAGTATGTATTCAAACTACACATACAGGGTTCAAGTTTTAGTCAGAATCCAAACATATTTAGTAAAGAAATAAACGGTCAGGGAACAAAAACAGCCTTAACTACTCAGTGAGATAAGCACAATTGAGAAAAACCTAGTCTTTTAAGCTGAGTTTAACTTGATGTAGGCCTACAGCTACAGAAGTACCTTGATCATAACTGTGAGGTACTGAGCAGCAGCACCACTAAAGGAAAAGCTGAATCTGATTAGACACCCTACCTTTTAATTTCCTTACTTTGCATGTTGACATATTTCTTGCCTATGTTCCTCAGACTTACACAGTAGCTTCAAAGACAATTGCAACACTTTTGAAATGTACTGTTGTAAGCCACATGTCGACAATTAAATTCACATTAAAATGCAATTTTAAATAATATTTAAAATAATTTAAAATAATCACTTCTTTGAAACCATTTTTATCACTGAAATTTTAAGATATTATAGATTGGTTTTTATTAATAAATTACAAAAATTGTTTATAAATAGACACTTATACTTTCAACAGCCTAGATAAAAGCATCCTTACTCTTTCTCTGCATCTCCTTCACTTTCTTCTGCATGATCAAAGCTCCAGTTATTTTTAAAACCTCCATCTCTCTTGGATTGTGATCTATCCAAAGCTGAAATGAGAACAAGTGAAGATAAGTCTAGATTTCAAGCTGAGTTATTAATCAACACAAACTAGAGGAGTAAACCAGACACATGTATTTTCCCCAAGCATTTATTTTGTTGATGCCAGTGTTCAACCGCCATTTAACAAAGTAAATTCATCAATGCAGTGGTGACTTATTTTCCTAAATAAATACAAGTATCTGTCAACATCCTGATTATTAATGCAACAAGTTAGCAAGCTATTAAAAATTATGATGCAAAGTAGTTTTACAAGAATTTCAACTGCTCTGCTGAAACCTGCAAGTTTAAGGGTTCCTTCTCTGATATGAACTATATGCCACAGACAGAAAGGGTCCTAAATTTTATTATTTGTCTAATACCCAAACAGATGTTTAATTTTTCCATATAAAAGCAACAGTTCTGAGCTGCGCCAAGTATAATTTCAACGTAATATGCTTTTTTGATTCAACATCTGACACTAACTGAAATTTCAGTGTTGGAATCAATTAAGTAAAAACCACAGTCACACTACATCAGATTTCAGATTTATCTACTGCAATATCCAACAGTATGGAGATTTTCATAAAATATGTCAGCATAGGGGTATTCTTAAGTGAAGGAGGTCCAGAGCATGCAGACAGCACCCATTAAAGCAAGGCACTGTTCACTCCAGGCCCTAATTAATGCGACTAAGAGCTGTCTCACAAATTCTGTATGACAAACTATGCAGCAGCTTTGATTTTGTCTAATTGTAATGTGTCTTTTCTTACTGTGTTTTTCTTTACATAGTTGGAAATGCATTTAGAAATAATGAATGCAACCTTATGTTTTGATAGAAAAAAAAATCATAACTAACAGATGTCTAGAGTAAAGTACAAACAGTGCACACAGAAATATTTATTGCATATTCAACCTCTGTATCAAGGACATCCCGAGCAATGGGTAATATTTTTGTGTTTAACAGCCTTTGTTAGCCTTTGTCTTCTCCCTACTTCCTTTTTTAATCAAGCCTACTTTAGAGAATCAACAACATCTTGCAGCAGATAGTACCTCTGTTTAATTATGCATTATATGAGTAAGTATTTCCTTTTGTTTGTCCTGATTCAATCTGGCATTTTTTGCTCCTACTTAGTGCCCTGCTCCTCCAGTTTTTGTACTTTGGAAGACAGTAATAAGTAATCCTTCCCTATTCACTCATGATTGCTTAGATCTCTGATGTGTTCTTTCATGATTATCCTTTTCCCAGGCAGAAAAAGAAAAAGAGAGCCTTCCTAATTTTTCCTTACAGGGAAGTTGTTACATGCCTTTAAATCACTCTCAATGCTTCCCTCTGAACCTCTTCTAGCCTACTGTACCCTTTCTGAAATGGGGACACCAACGCTCTGAGAAATATTCAAGATGTGTATGTGCCATGATTTTCTACAGAAACAGCAGCATGTTGTTTCTGTTTGTTCTTTATTCCTTTTATAATAACACTTGACACTGAATTTGCTGTTTTCATTGCTATGGAGAACTCTAATAATCATTATGTACTAGATAATACCATCTTTCACCCATGATTGGTACAAACCAGTTCAGAGCCAATCGTTATCTACAAAAATTCTCCTTCCTACTTCTCATTCACTTAGATTACTTTGCATTCACCTACAGTGAATTTCATATATGATTTTTAACCCACACAACCCAAAATCTGAGCATCTGCAGTTTTCTTTTAATAGCTAGCCATTACACTAACCCAAGTGAAGTTTGCAACATCTACAAACTTTGTCACCTTGGTATCAAACCTTTCTCCTTCTATCTCTACACCCGTGTTAACACAGAACCTTGTGGAATTCAATGTTACACCTTCTATTAACAAACCAAACCATTTTTATCTTCTGTTTCCATCTGCTGCCAGTTGTTCCTTAGAAAACTCTCAATTTTATCCAGAGGCAACTAGCCTCTCCAAAAGCCTTTCGTAAAGGCCCTTACAAAGGGAACAGTGAAATTAATTCTGATCTTCATTATAATTTCTATGATTTTGGGTTGTGTGGTCACAAAGCTCACTGATGTAAAGTTCCTCAAGTACCTCCACCGCATTTTAAAAAAGCTGGTATTATACTACCTACCTTCTTTACCTGTAGCAGAAAGATGATGCTAACCAAAAAGTAATACGCTACAGTCATTAGCTCCTTTATCCCTGAGTTCCTCTTACAACACTTGGATGAACGCCATTTGATCCTGCTGCCTTGTACATTGTTTGCTTAATGTACTGCAGTTTTTCCACTGATGTTTCATTTTGAGTCATAAACTCTATCACATTCCTTCTTAAGAAATATTCTGGCATGAAGACATCTGTATGTGTTGTCAAAGTGAGCGCAAGCAATTCTGTTTTTCAGCTATGACCTTATATTCTCCAAAGCCACATCTGAATTGTCTACTGACCCTACAGATACTCCAGAAACTTTTCTACTGAGTTTGAAGAAATACTTAACAATAGTTTTTATGGCTGCTGGGAATTATTCCCACTCCCCCCCCCCTTTTTTTCCCCTGACTCATTATGATTATAGATTAAATATTTTTTCATTATTCTGTATTTTCATCATTCGGACAAATGATGAAAATACAGAATATAGCTTCAGGTAGGACAATGTTTTAATTCAGACGTTTCACCTTACTCTGCTGTTTAGCCATGCCAACATTTTGGAGGCCTTTTAAAGTCTGTTTAAATAAGCAGCATGCATGTACTGTAAGCCTCCAATATGGTGTCTTTAAATAACTCTCAAGCTGTCTGCAAATATTTTACACCCCAGATGCATCTTTTAGTTCCTTTTCAAAAAGTTCCTTGAAGATCTTCTGTAGTCGTCTTTTTGAATAAAGCTTTTCTGTGTTGGACAGTTTGTCCACCAATACAGACCAGCTCAGTTTCCATGGAAGAGTCTCAGTATCCCAGCTCTGCTCACTCACCGCTGGATCAATTTTCTTTCTCTCTAGTATTCATGGTTCTACCAAAAAAATGCAAATCTAGAAGTATACCATCATGTTAGCTGGATTGTTCACCTGAGTCACTTGATCTGAATGGTCACGTGGGATCTGATTCTATGCAGATTCTTTTTTTTTAACGAGGAAAACATGTATCTGTCACACAGGCAAAGTTTCTCATTATTTTATAGTAACACGTTTGGAATCTCAGTGTTGCAGTTTTTACTATGTATACTATCACAGCCATTTTAATCAGCAAGGCACATTCACATCCGGAAGGTGAAGATACTCAAATAAGCAGAACTGGCCCTAAGACAGAAGCAAATGGCCAATGTAAGTCTCTTTCCCGAGAAAGGCCTCCTCCTGAGAAAGGCAGCATGCTGAAGCAGTTTTCACTAACAATGAAAAATCATTTTTCCTCCCACTACAAGCTCCCTCTGGTGAGGTTGTACCAAGGGAGATAAGCAATTCTGAGCCCAAGAAACTAGATGGAATTTTAAACAGACAACTTAAACAGGTATATATCTAACATATTTCACTGCTTTTTTAAACAATTGTGATCATTCATATATAATTTTTTTAAGCCAATAAAATCAAATCCTAAATAATGTGTATTTTACTTGTATTAGAATTTTTGTAACATTATAAACCACATCCTGAAGCCAACATTTTCAAAATCCTCGTTCAGTCTTTTTGAGTAAAACACAAATAACAAATTTGGGATTACAAAAAAGTATGCTTGTAGGAAGAAGAATGGAAAAAAGCAGATTAATTCTTTATGTTACTGAGTTTGGACACTTTTTTTAACTTCTTTCACAGTTTCTTTTAAACATCTATCATTCAATAGTGTCATTAGGCAATTCCTAAATGGGAGGGAAAAAGTTCACAGTGAATCTCCATTAAAGAAGAAAAGTTGTACATTTACAAAAAAAGAAAAAAAATAAACAAACAAAACCACAAAAACCCAACCCCAACCAAAAAAGCCCCCATAAAACAAACCAAACCACTACAACACTGAAGTGACTGAAGTGAAGAGTGTCATATACAGTATTTAGTGAAGTGCTAGTATCCAACAGAAGATACCATTTTAGAATATTTTTTTGCATATTTTTTACCTCATGCTCTAAGGTAAATCATTCCCTATGAATCTATACTACAGCTGACCAGAAAAACATACCTATTCCTTTACCCGTTTGAATGCGATGCTGTATTGGGTTTGCATGTCAAGGTTTTGGTAGGGGGGATAAGTGGGAGTACTGCAGGGGTGGCTTCTCTGAGAAGATGCCAGAAGCTGCCCCCCAGCAGTGTTGGACAGAGCCAGTTCCAGTCAGCTCCAAAATGGGCCCACTGCTAGTCAAACCAAGCCCATCAGCAACAGTGGTAACAGCTCTGGGAAAATATATTTAGGGGGGAAAAAACTGCTGTGCAACAGCAGCCAGGAGAGAGAAGTGAGAATATGCGAGAGAAACAGCTCTGCAGATGCCAAGGTCAGTGCAGAAGGACGGGAGAAGGTCCTCCAGGCGCCAGAGCAGACATTTCCCTGCAGCCCATGGTAAGGCAGGCTGTGCCCCTGCAGCCCATGGAAGTCCATGGTGGAGCAAATATCCACCTGCAGCCTGTGGAGGACCCCACTCCAGAGCAGGGGATGCCCAAAAGAGGCTGTGACCCCGTAGGAAGCCTGTCCTGGAGCAGGCTCCTGGCAGGACCTGTGCCCTCATGGAGGGAGGAGCCCACACTGGAGCAGGTTTGCTGCGGGACTTG